CAAGAGCAGAAAGGGACAGAAGGAGCACAAAGGTAAAGTAGGAGAATGAGCAGAAAGGGGCAGCAAGGAGCACATAGATAAAGTAGAAGAATGAGTAGAAAGGAATAAGGTCAGCAAGGAGCAGAAATGGGCAGCAAGGAGCAGGAAGGGTCTGCAAGGAGAAGGAAGGGTCTGCAAGGAGCAGGAAGGGACAGAAGGAGCACAAAGGTAAAGGAGCAGAAATAATCAGAAGGAACCCAAATGTAAAGTAGGAGAAGGAGCAGAAAGGGTCAGCAAGGAGCAGGAAGGGTCAGCAAGGAGCAGGAAGGGTCTGCAAGGATAAGGAAGGGTCTGCAACTAGCAGAAAGGGATAAAAGGGGCACAAAGGTAAAGGAGCAGAAAGAATCAGAAGGAGCACAAAGGTTAAGTGGGAGAAGGAGCAGAAAGAAACAGGAATGGGCAGAAAGGGGCAGAAGGAGCACGACAGTAAAGAAGGAGAAGGTGCAGAACGGGGCAGCAAGGAGCAGAAAGGGTCGGCAAAGAACTGGAAATGGCAGCAAGGAGCAGGAAGGGACATAAGGAGCACAAAGGTAAAGTTGGAGAAGGAGCAGAAAGGAGAACAAACAGAAATAAGCAGGAAGGGAGATCAAGGAGCAGAAAGGGTCAGCAATGAGCTGGAAGAGGCAGAAGGAGCACAAAGGTAAAGTAGGATAAGGAGCAGAAATGAGCAGGAAGGGTAAGCAAGCAGCAGAAAAGGTCTGTAAGGAGCAGGAAGGGTCTGCAAGGAGCAGAAAGGGGCAGCAAGGAGCAGGAAGGGACAGAAGGAGCACAAAGATAAAGGAGCAGAAAGAATCAGAAGGAGCACAAAGTTAAAGTAGGTGAAGGAGCAGAAAAGGGTAGCAAGGAGCTGGAAGGGACAGCAAGGAACACAAAGGTAAAGTAGGAGAAGGAGCAGAAGGGCGCAAAATAAACAGAGAGTAGCAGAAAGGTAAAGGAGCAGAAGGAACCAAGGAGGAGAGAAGACGGTGTCAGAAGAAAAAAAAAAAAGACTGTGTCAAATGAAGGAGAAGAAAATGAGGTTGGAGCAGGAAGGACAAGTGATGTGAACCCTCCACTTTATTCTGGACATCACATCATAAGGTTTTGGTACCTGGGCCTGGCAGGGAAACATTGGACCTTCTCATCAAACAGGTAAAAAAAATTATCAGTGTTAATGTGTTCACTTTTATTTAATGAGTGTCAGGAAGCACAGAGTGCCGCTGGGTAGGTGTGTCACTGATTGGCTAGAGTAGTCAGCTGGCACTCTAAACCAAAGTAAAACCTTTTTATGAACCGGGAACTAGCGATTGGCTTAGAGCACAAACTGACCACTCTAGCCAATCTGCAGCACCCATGCCTAACGTCAATCTGCACTTCCTGACATTCTATTTCAGAAGAAGAATACCACTGAGCGACCTGGAGATCTGGAGATGGAGGAAGCCTTTGGAGTTAAACCATTTGAGAGAGGTTTAACCCCTTAAAGGAAAGAGAGCACCCAGGGGCTTCCTGGCATCATAGCATTTTCATTTAGATGAATTTGTTATGGTGACCAGAATGTTCCTTTAATTTGCTTAATTATGTATGTATTCCTGACACCATAGTTGTGCTCTCAGATCCAGGCTATCTGTGGATTTAAGACTTGAGGGGGTACATGGTTGTTTTTTTGTGTTTTGTTTTGGGGTGTCATAAACATTGTTGATTTGTTTGTACCAGAGAGATTTTCCCAGGTAATTATCTCTCAGGCACAGAGGATCATGGGAAGGATTACCATGTAATACTGTCTTGGAAACCCCATGTAGGGGTTTTTGCATAAAAGGCCATGTGTGACCCTAAATAAAACAGTTCACTCCCATCATTCAGTCTCAACTAATATCTCTGGGGGAAAGCTATACCTGCTTTTGATTATTGATACTTGGGGAATTCTACTCTTGACTACTACTGTTCGTGGAATTATTGCAGCAGACCTCTGTAAATAAGGAAAAAGATCTCCTTGGTGGCGAGACCAGTGTTCCTATCCGTGTGGTCACCACATACCCCATTTTGAATGCCCTGTGTTGTCGGGTTCAGAGAAGGGCTACTAAACTGGTTCATGGATTGCGGGATAAAACTTACCAGGAAAGGTTAAAGGATCTTAACATGTATAGCTTGGAGGAAAGACGAGACAGGGGGGATATGATAGAAACATTTAAATATATAAAGGAGGAGACTATATTTAAAACACAGTAAAGGAGGAGACTATATTTAAAAGAAGGAAAACTACCACAACAAGAGGACATAGTCTTAAATTAGAGGGACAAAGGTTTAAAAATAATATCAGGAAGTATTACTTTACTGAGAGGGTAGTGGATGCATGGAATAGCCTTCCAGCTGAAGTGGTAGAGGTTAACACAGTAAAGGAGTTTAAGCATGCGTGGGATAGGCATAAGGCTATCCTAACTATAAGATAAGGCTAGGGACTAATGAAAGTATTTAGAAAATTGGGCAGACTAGATGGGCCAAATGGTTCTTATCTGCCGTCACATTCTATGTTTCTATGTTTCTATGTCTACTTGTGCAAATGGTATGCCATGATGGCGGTAGCTTTCATTTTTGGGCTACAATGCAGTCTTAAAAGCAATATGAGCTAAGCAAACCAACCTGGCAAATTTCAATGTGTAAAACCAAAGAGGAAGGTTGTGTAAAACCAAAGAGGAAGGTGTCAGAGAGGTCCTGCCCTTTATTACTTATTTTCTGTTTTCTGACTTGTTAATTTATTTTACAGGCTTTTTTGCTGCTATTGCAGGTTGCAGAGTGTTTAGCAAAATATTTGGCTTGTTTTTATTAAAATTCAGATAATCAACAATTAAAAGCAGCACAGTCAGTACTGTTAGGAGCTGAACTTTGTGCATTTATTTGCTAAGGAAGTCTTTCTGGCATTAGATGGCGTGCTACGGCGGTAGGTTTATCGTCCCACATTATGCAAAAATGCAAAACATTAATTTTTTTTTTTTGTGCAAAAACTCTAAAGATTAAAGCATGCAAAGATATAGCATATTAATGATCCCAAATCTGTCAGAAGCATTACATTTGTATTGGTATCTAGAGAGTTGCTAGAAAAAAATAAGTGGCTATTTAAATAACATACACCGAGTTGTCCTTATCAGAATAAATAATTTATGATTCAGAATTTAATTATATGCAATAATCCATAGAATGTAAAAGCATGATGGCACCATACATGAATACCTCTTATTTACTGATTTGGTAAAAGAGACGGACTCAGTTTAATTATTTCTTTATTAACAATAGTAGAAAGTGATTCATTTTGCATTCTGGTTTTAAAGCTTTGTTACTTGGAATGTACAGACGGTTATAGGAGGTTCATGCAAATGACAAAGAATTGCAGGTAACTTTTAGCGTCCTCAGAAATCCATGAATCATCTGCTTTTCTTTTCAAATGAGAGGGAAAAAAAAAAACATCTTAAAATAGTATCTATTTAGTGCATGCTATTAAATCCATGTAGCCATGGCTACTACCGCAAGTGTTAAAACAGGTGCTCCAGCTGATTTTGCATTCCCTACTATGCTTCCCATAGTTCACAGGAAAAAATGGGGCTAGCTACAAAAAAATGCTAAATATTTATTAAAACAAAGACAAATGCTAGTGCATATTGTTAACAACACTATCAGGGTAACTTACTCTGAACTACTTTTAACAAAATCTGTTAAAAATGTAAAATTACTATATATATGTGCTTTTTTTTTTTCCGGTAGCTAGTCACAAGGTGTAATGCACAAGTAGATATTAAAATGTATAGAAACAATAATTGTTATGAATAATATATGTAAGATAGACGTTAGAATGCACGACCACGATTTATTATTATATGCTAGGAGTCAAGCATTAATCTTGCACTAAATTTAAATTATAAAGTTTGGTTAAGAAAGAGTAAGAATATAAAAAGAACAGAATTCACAAATATCATGCACGAGATTTAAAAAGATAACTAACGCGTGAATACAATGGAAATTAGTAGGATTAGGAATTGACAAATGTAGCACAAAGGACAGAATTATTTATATTCACGGTTATGATTTAATTATTTCATTAAAGAGCTAAAGTAATAAATGGGAACTAGGCACAAAAGAATGCATTCTTAAAACAGGGCCAAAAAAAAGGTTAATCTTGAAGAAATATACTATTTAAATCTGGAATCCTATTAATAGAGAAGAATAGTAAAGATGAACGACTTTTGTGGAGGGTAAAGGATATAGAAATGTATTCAGGAAAATTTATATTTATGTGTAAATACTTGAAAGTGAATAGAAGATATCTAGGCCTCATTACTAGTTAAATGACACGAGCCATAGATTGGAGGATGCCTAGTATACTAGGTTAAACATTTTTGATAAATGGTAAATATTGTGACTATCAACGTACAAGGTCTTAATTCACCACAAAAAAGGAAAATAGTAATTGACCATATGAAAACAGAAAACGCCCATATAGTGTGTCTACAAGAGACGCATTGGCGACAAGCTGATGAAGGGAAATTCAGATTCTTAGATTTTCCTCTTTCCGTTTGTTCATCATTTAAAGAGAAAAAGAAAAGAGGAGTAGAGATTTTATTTTCAGCTAAAGTAAACGTCTCCATAAAATATCAGAGTACAGACAAAATGGGCAGATGGATTATATTAATTAGTTGTATCGATGAAGAATTATATACAATAGTCAATATTTATGCACCGAACTCTTCACAGATACAGTTCATACACAAAGTCTTAATGAAAGTAGAAAAAAATCAAGCAACGAGCTCTCATAGTTCTAGGCGACTTTAATTCCGTAATCGACCTCAAATTAGATAAGAGGTCTGAAAAAGATAAAATACCCTCTAAGAATGTCTTTAATCAAGCTAAGAAATTGAGTAAAATTATACAAAATGCAGCTCTCTCTGTTGGAGGATATTCCATCCTACCGATAGAGATTTCACTTGTTTTAGTAAGTCCGTATTCAAGAATTGATTTAATCTTAGTAGAGCGTAATTTGTTGGGCAGAATAAAATCTTCTAATATACTGTCTACCACCTGGTCTGATCATAACATGGTAAAGGTGCACCTGAAAGATAAATTTATTAGACAAAGGCCAGAGTGGAAATTGGACAAGAAAATATTAATTCCGGAAGATAACAAAGAACAAATTGCTAAGGCAATAGATAGATATTGGATAGATAACGATAAGGATGGGGTATCACCTATGATAAAATGGTGTGCGTTCAAAAGTGTTATAAGAGGTCACTTAATTAGTATGGCTGCACACGAAAAAATCAGTAAAGGGAAATCTCTTTCAGAGTTATATATTGAATTAAGCGAATGCAATAAAATAGATATAACCTCTTCTATGAGAGCCCGAGCAAATAAATAAGGATAATTGAAAGTAAAATTAATGATATTTTAATAGCTAAAGATAATAGGAATTTACAATATATGAAAACCAATTTCTATTACAGGGGAAATAAAGCTGATAAACTTCTTACTAACAGAGTTAAAGCACATCAAAAGGCCAAATTAATAAATAAAATAAAACAAGGTAATGATGTAATAATTGATCCAGTCAAAATTGGGGCGGCCTTTAAGAATATTATTATGATTTATATAACCTACCAGTAACAGCAACTCAAGAAGATCTACAAAAATATTTTTTAGATAAGCAGCTGCCCAAATTAACTAACTCCCAATTAAACAAACTGAATGAAGACATCTCAGCTCAAGAAGTTATAGAGCCTATTGATGCAATGAAAAAAAACAAAGCGCCAGGCCCAGATGGGTTTGTAGATTTTTTTTTATAAAATCTACAAAGATAGGCTCGTTCAGGGTTTAAGGGAATACTATAATACAGCTATGTCTACAGGGAAACTGCCAAACGAGATGTTAGTAGCCAATATTGCTCCTATACTTAAAGCAAAAAAAAAAATTCAGAAGAGATTGCCAACTATAGGCCGATAGCTTTATTAAATAACAATTATAAAATGTATGCATCAATTATATCTAAAAGAATTAAAAGTATAATTTCGAGTTTAATATCAGAAGATCAAGTATGATTTGTCCCCGGGAGAACATTGTCTAATCATATTAGGAAAATTATACATGCCACAAAAATCCCCTTTCTCACTATGGCGCTCGATGGAGAGAAAGCTTTTGATCAGGTTAACTGGAATTCAAACGGTACGCGTCTGGGCTGCCCACTTTCCCCACTTCTTTACATCATAGTGGCACCACTGGCTCATGACATACGTTCAAATGTTAATATAACAGGCTTTCGTAAGAAGGACAAAGAGTTAAAGATAAATCAGTATGCTGATGATATTTTGTTAACACTATTGAATCCAGCTCACTCGGTTCCAGCAGTGATGGAAGAAATAAATCAGTTTAGTTTTCTTACAAATTATAAACTTAACATTAAAAAAACAGTGGTATTGCCTCTACATATGGATGTGGCTGAATATAATTTCTTAAATAAACAATATGATTTTAAATGGGAGAAGAAAAGCTTAGTATATTTGGGGATAAATATAGTATATGACCCTGTAAACATTATTAGAGCTTATCTAATCCCTTTAATAAAAGAAACTACTCATCTCCTTAAACAATGGAGTAAACTTGAGATATCCTGTTGGGGAAGAGTTAATTCCATAAGGGCTTATATCTTTCCTAAGATTATTTACTTATTAAGGATGATCCCGATGCCGATACAACCCCACTGGCTAACAAATTTCAATAAGATCTGTATTAGTACGGAGAAATATAAAATTTGGGATAAATGGATTAAAATCCTTGAAAGACCTTTATTAGTCAAATGATTGACACATGTATCAACAAATAATGAATTTTTGAGATAAGGATAACTCCTCCTGGTTAGGGTAAAAGCTATAACCCATAAACACGCTGTTTTGATTGTGTTTGTATGTTTTTATGTCTTATATGTAACAATGGATGATTTGTTATAATCATCTTCTGTTTGAGTATTTATGTTAGTAAATTGTATATTTTTGTATTGTTATTGAGAAAACCAAATAAAATATTTATAAAAAAAATATAAAAAAATTAAAATTACTGTAATGGCTACTCTTATATTTATTAAAGCTAATTACAGTCAGAATTCAGTCAACCTTACTGGATATGCATCAGTCGCTTGGATGCATTAGAGGTCGTATTTAAAATCGGTGCCTTTCGCATTTAAAACCCTATACAAAATTTAGGATTCTGAATCATCTCAAAGCGTTAATAAAAAAAGTTGACATTAAAAATTGCGACCGAATGCACATTGCAGGATGCATGTTTTCAAGTTATCATTCATTTTTTCCCGTTTGCAAGTGAATGATTATTTTAAGTACTATTTTCTCATTGGCAGCATCAGCAGGCATTTGCTAACTGTCGGTGATGCAAAAGTTAACCCTGTGGCGGCTAGCCAGTATTTGGTAACATCACTTGTGCCCCCACCTGCTGTGTGGCAGTTGGGGTCATATCTACTAGGCTTTGAGCAGCCAGTGGTGGCTCACTGCAACAAAACACTAGCCACTGGGCAGCCAGCTACTTATTAACAGGAGATAGAGGGCAGGGGAGGGGGAGGAGTGGTCAGTGGCATGGGAAATTAGGTTACCTCCTATATATCTGTTTTTCCCGGCACTGCACAATCTGCAGTGCCTCCCTCTCTTCCCCCATCCCATGTTGCTGAATGGGTTAAAACCCCTCCAGTGACTTACCTGAATCCAGCGCCAATGTCCCTCGGCACTAGGTCAGGCTCTGCGGGGGAGACCTAATGCGCATGCACTGCAATGCCCGCAAGCGCGCACATTAGACCTCCCCATAGGAAAACATTCAATGCTTTCCTATGGGGATTACGGCAACGCTGGAGGTCCTCTTGCATAGTGTGAGGATTCAGGCGTCGTTTTAAAACACTTTTCGGAAGTCCCTCTAGTGGCTCTCTGATAGTGGCTGTCTGATAGACAGCCACTAGAGGAGGACTTCACCCTGTAAGGTAATTATTACAGTTTATAAAAACTGCAGTAATTACACTTGCAGGGTTAACGGTGATTGGAGTTGGCAGGTACCCAGACCACTCCAATGGGCAGAAGTGGTCTGGGTGCCTGGGGTGTCCCTTTATTTTGGAATAATTCTTCATTTGATATCTGGGAGTCCCTACTGTCAGCTGAGGCCAGACTTTGCAATCGCAGACTGACCGATGCTCTATATGCAGAATTCAAAGTGAGTTTTAAATCACCATTGCTACAATACAGTGTGAACATGGTTAAATCCCTGCTCACACTAGTGAGTCCCAGCTATCAGGAAATACTTTGGGCTCCCCTATGTCGGCCATGGTTATTTCTAGTGGCCTCAGACTGATTCATGAGCTGTATGCAGAACTGAAAGTCAGCACTTCATTCAGCCCTTTAAAATCATGCAAAATACCATGGCTGAACAATCATCAGGAGTATATGAGTTAGGATTAGGATTTGGTTTAGTATTAGGGTTGTGAATAGTATTAAGAGTGTTACTTTGTAAAGGTGTATATATATGGGGTATTATTGAACACATGAGATGTTGCAAAAATACAATGGGTATGTAAAAATTTAAAATAGGGTTGAAAACAAAATGGTGAAAAAATGGCACCTCAATAAAGCTGCAAATATATCATGTGAGAGTACCCATGATTTGCATATTTGCAAATGACATGCATTCATGGAGTAATAAAATTATGTGAGTTACTAAAATGCACAAAATCCAACTTCAATTTGCCATTTTTGTGAAACTGGTCAGATTACAAATTCAGTCCTGTATTTACTTGAAAGAAATTGGTGCCTACTTTAACAAATGATATGCATTTATAGTAATTTGAACTGTTAAACTCCTACAATGTACCAAAATGTGGATTATGAACATCAAATTCATCAAAAGTCTACATGTAAAAGCTGAAATAGTCAGATCTCTTATATGACACTATAATTATGCAAGATAGTGTCAAAGGTATACATTTGGGGGTATTTTTTTTTTTTAGAAGAGTGTGCTGAGCATAATATGGGGTTTTGGTCATAGTGGCACATATCAGATTTTTCAAAATGCCTAGCAAAAATATGTGAATGTAAAATAAAATTTCACCTCAAATTTTTACATAAATTGGTGAAAAATGATCAGTACGTTAAGGCACAAATAGTAGACTTGTGCGGGGTATTTTAAATAAACGGCTATATTGCCTCAAAATTAGACACAGGCCTACCAATTCCCTCTATCAAAATTCTAACTAAAAACTGAAAAGGTCTGGTCTTTTATGGAACTGTAGCGTCACAGGATAGTGACAAAAGCATGGATCGGGGGTACTGTTGTACTCAGTAGATGTAGATGAATACAATATGGGGTTTGTAGAGTAGCACACATCAGATTTACAAAATACACTTTACAATAAACTTTGTTATAGGTGTTAAAAATCAGAAGAAAAGACAATTTTACTACAATATTTAGATGAGAAGTTACATTGCTACAAAAAAGTTTCAAAAAACCCTTAGGTAAATAGCCCGTGAGGTCTACTTTCTAGAAATATATACTTTTGTGTGGAAATTTTGTTTTCTTTTCTGCGAATCTCTTTTTATTGAGGCAACTTCAAGATGCAATACAGACAAAAGGAGTTATAACAGGAGTGTACATACAAAGCTGAGCATAGCATATATAAAAACATGAACATATAATTTTAGTTGGACACATAAGAATTAACTGCTAGACAATGCAGCCTCATTTTAAAATACAATGATATTGAAACATGCTAGGTATTGCCATAGGCGTGCGCAGCCTATTGCATTAGGGTGTGCACCCTAAAGCACAAACACACGCCGCGCGCGTGTGTGTGTATATATATATATATATATATATATATATATATATATATACACACATATATATACATATATATACGTATATATATATTCACAGACACACACACTCACACTCACAGAAACACACACATACTCACAGACTCACACACTCACTGACACACACACTCACAGACACACACTGACACACACTCACAGACTCACAGACACATACTCACACACTCACAGACACACACTGACACACACTGACACATACTCACACATTCACTGACACACACACTCACAGACACACACTGACACACTCACACACTCACACTGACACACACACACACACACACACACACACACACACACACACACACACACACTCACACACACACTCACACACTCACGACACCACTCACACACCACAGAACACGCATACATACTCACACACTCACAGACACACACTGACACACTCACTGACACACACACTCACAGACACACAGACACACACTCACAGACACACACTGACACACACACACTCACACACACTGACACATACTCACACACTCACACACTTACAGACACACACTGACACACACTCACAGACACATACTCACACACTCACAGACACACACTGACACACTCACAGACACACACTGACACACACACTCACAGACACACACACACACACACACACACAAATTATTATATTTTAATTTTTCTTTTAAATGTCCACCCAGCCTCCTACCTGGAGTGCTGGTGGACTTGTCCCTGGGGTCCAGTGGGGGCGGGCGCCTCTCTGCAGGTCAGCGCGCGGCGAGGGAGCTCTACTCTCTGCTCCCTCTCGCCGCGCGGGCTGTCTGCTGGAGCTGGGAGCCGGAATATGACGTCATATTCCGGCTCCCGGCATCAGCGCGCGGCGAGAGGAAGCAGAGAGCAGAGAGCAGAGAGCTCCCTCGCCGCGCGCTGACCTGCAAGGTGGGGGAATCATCACCTCTTGCCCTCCCATGACAGGGGCAAGAGGTGAAACAGGGGGCACTGAGTGCCTGCAGGAACAGCGTTCCTGCTCAAAAGAGTGCAGGAACGCTGTTCCTGCAGGACTCAAACCATAGGGGTGCGCACGGGGATTAGGGTGTGCCCAGGCACACCCGGCACACCCCGTGCGCACGCCTATGGGTATTGCATGCGTAAACAACTATTACACATTATTAAAGTAACACAAGTTAGAGAAATAGCTACGGTGGGTAAGCTTTGTTGGCACTGGACTGTAAGAGATCTAATGAAAGGGATCGATTGTGAATAAAGCATAGAATGGAATAGCAGAAATCCCTGCAATGCATATGGAGCAGATACCACAGATATACAAAGAAATTGTCAGCCAGGAATAAATCAACACCCCAACCAGGCCATAACAGAACGGTAGTCTCTATGCCAGGTCATATCTGAAAGTCCAGTCTCACGCCAGGTTCTTGTTCACCACCCACTAACCCAGGATGGTGCAAGTTTTTCTGTGTATTCATCAACTGGAGATCAGTATACAGAGCAAAAAACAATTACAGCACAAATTGTGCAGTGTACCTTATTTATAGGAATAGGCATCTCCAGTTTCCACTACTGCTTAGAACATAATGAAATTAAAAAAAAAAAGAGACATTAAATAAAGATGAACACCTCAATAAACTTTAATGGTAAAAGAATATGAATCATACCTTTATTAATGAACATGACATGGCTTAGACACACGGGGGGAAATCTGGATCTACCCCCTAACGCCCTACACCTCTAGTCCCCTAGCGACACTTCATCAGATACAATGGATGTAGCACATATAGGCTTTTATATAGCTTGAAACACATGTGTAACAAATAATTGTCATTAAACAGTGAGATCTATACAAAAAAAGTTTGAATAATGCCAGTTTTGATATTTACAATCAATCACTCATAAAAGCCTCAAAGAAACAAATACAGCACAAAAACAAGCATAATATTACACATTCTTGTGGCTTGTTTAAGCGGATCTGTAATAAGAATAAGTACATTTTAAAATGTTCTTAATTGCATTGCTCTATCCTATATATCAGAGAGTTCTTCCTGTAGCATTAAATATATTTGTAGTCGGAACTTAATTCGTATATGAAAATAGAGAAGAGGGGGGAAAGTTGGTAGTGGTGTGCCGATACCAACGTACGGGTAGGACTGTAATAAAGAGGGCCCACCAAAGGTAATGTAATGATGATAGTAAAATTATTAAAAAGACTGGTGGGAGGGGTCACTCTTAAAGGGAACCAGCATAGGTAAGCAGGGGTGGTAGAGCTTTTATAGGGAAAACTCCTCCCACAAATTCAGGCCTATGGCCATTTACTTGTAGTCGGAACTACGTTGGTATGGTGTGTAATAAAGAGGGCAAAAGATATTGCGGAAAATACACCTTATTCAGAATTTATCACAATGCTAGACATTTAGGTTTCCTGAGTTCTTCTCAGGAGGTAATATTAACATGCTGTTAACAGAGGATTCTATCTGCCCGGTCTTTAAAGTTTAGGTGGGAGACAGAAGTAGTGGATAGAATTAAGTAGAGTATATTTAACCGGGGCACCAGAGGTTCTCTGTAGAAACAGAGGAATTGTAGTTGGGTAGTTGTACGGTTGGTTTGGATGAGAGTCGAGACATAACGTAGTGGTTATCGTGTATGGTTCTCACCGATAATTTAAAACAGGAGCTGACATCCATATATGGACCACAGTGAACTCTCGGGGTCTGAGGAAGCCATAAAGTGCGGTGTAAATGCTAGATGGCCGAGGGATATGTGCTAATTTTAAGTGTAGTTGGCCAAAAAGAAGAGGCAAAAGCCACCATGGTTTCGAAGTTATTGTCATAAACTTGAATTTCCCTGCCCAATACGTTTAACTCAGTTACAGCCCTGTTGTAGGCTGTTTTGGTGTTGAGAGACAGAGTGTATCATGACAGAAACTGTGCGTGGGTCAATAATCTAGTTAATCCATAATTAACTCTGGAAAAGTAGGTATTCTGGATGGGAGCTGGTTGGTGAAGGGGTGAATCTTGTAGAAAGCCTGAAAGTTTGATTGGGACAGCGCGTCAGCTGCCGTATTATGGATGCCTGGGATGTCTTCATAACTAGATAAAATTGTAGTTTGGCGGCCAGCCATGTCAATCTCCGTATTAATCGCATAATGGTCAAGGAGGAAGAGCTCCCTCTATTTGATATCGCAAGCCGCCAAATTGTCTGAGAAACACTGGACTGCCTTACCGGCCCACAGATGACCCCAAGTATGTGCTGCTGCTACATGGCATAGACCTCTAAAAGGGCTGAAGTTTCCATGAAGGCCGGTAAGGCAAGTGCCTCTTGAGGCCACACGTCCCTGAACCAGTGGCTATGAAAGATTGCAGCGAACCCCGAGTGGGCTGCTGCATTAGTCCAAATAACAGGAGAGTGCTTATTCAGTGGGGGAATGAACATGGAGATGCCGTTCCACTCTGCTAGGAAGTGCTTCCACATAATTAAATCGGCTATGGCTAGCGGGTTAAGGACTATGGTGCCATCATCAGGCACGCCTGGTAGGAGGCAGAGTAACCTGGAGATGAAGGATCTCCCTTGTGGAATGATACACATCACAAAATTGAGGTATCCCATTAGAGACTGGAGATCCCTCCGAGAACCAGAACCTTTCTGGAGGAACTAGTCCAATTCCAGTCTAATGCGTACCAATATCACATCGGGGAGGCGTGCCTGCATGGTCACGGAGTCGAGTGAGATCCCCAGGAATACCAACTGTGTTGTGGGGCCTATTGCCAGGGGACAGTGGGACACCTAGTGCAGAAAACAGTGCAGTGGTGCTAATGATACTACGTGGGGTGAGGGATCCTGCCTTGACTAGTAAAAATCTTCTAAATAGTGTATGACCGTGGGGCATCTGACTGTATTCAGGAGCAGCCAACAAAGTGTTTCTGCAAAAATATCGAACAGCTTCTGTCTGCTACTGGAGCCGAAAGTGAGCCTGGTGGCGAAGTAATAATTATCCCTCCATTTCATGCCGTGGATGTGCCAGGGAGATAGATGGATTGGTAGTAATTTGAAAGTGTTAGTTATGTCCGTCTTACTGAGCAAGGCTTGTTTGCCGGCCAGTAGTATAGCTTGTATGGCATGATCCACGGAGGCAAAATGAAGAGAGAATTCTTCAGTCGGTATTAATGAATTTAAACTAGTTTTTTTTTGAAGAATGAGATGCTGACAAATCGATAATCAAAGTTTTTTATAAGATGTGTTGTTGGTAACCACTCCGATAGGGTTCGTGCGCCATTAATTAAAAGGAGGGCGTGAAAAAGGACCGAACATAAAGCCTGATGTGGTCTCTCTCTATAGTAATTCGTCAACGGCGGATGGGTCATTGGTAGCAGAGTAAGTTAGGACATTCCAGTGTACCTGTTGGGAGTGCTACTAACCCTGTGTGGAAATCATCAGAAAACCAAGAAATCAAATATTGAACCGGGTGAGGGGAGGGGTGGGTGCGTAAATGGTAAGCCAAGGTGTCTAAGTTTACTTCCGTCAGTGATTTCCTAGGGGAAAGCTTGGAAGGGCACGTGTCTTTGTATGTGACCTGAAGCAGATGGCGCAAATATGCAACAACCTGCATGCATTGTAGTTACATGCTCCAGCGTTGAAGTCGTTGCACATCTGTACTTTGCCCAGGAATACTACTGGTCTGCCCAGCTTATCTCTCTGTCCCCTGTGCTGACTGACGAAGAGGTTGGGGGATGAGTAGGAAGTGGAGGGCTGAGATATAGGGTGTTCTGCTACGCATGGACATAAGTTGGAGGAATGTGAGGTAGTGGAGCAAACTGCACAAGATGGAGGACGCAAGTCGGCAAAATGCCTGCAGAACAGCTCTGTGTCCAACTGACTCCAATCGATGCAAGTATTGGACTGGGCCAGCGCCGCTGCTGCCTTAGATGAAATTGCTCTGTGGTAATCATAAAAGGCGAAACCCCTGTACATGTGACCCAAGTCCACCACCTTGTATAGATAGAGGTTGAATTCCTCTCGCTTCTGAGGGTATACTGAGCAGATGACGTCCCTGTATAGTCCGAAACGGATAAATTCGGGGATGGGTAGCTTTATACTGAGACATGAGTTCCTAGATATGAGGAACTCTGACCTATCTTCAAAACCAACAGCTTTATTCTCTAGAGTATCATGTGAAGCTATAAGGAGGGCAACTAGGCTAACATCCTTGCCGTCCAGAATGTCTTCCCTAATGGAAGCTGGAACAGTATATACAGGGTTGATGAGGAAATGATAGTAATCCCCCTAGCATACGTGTTAGAAGGTGCAGGTGCTGCGCTTGGAGTGAGAGGTGC